CTTCTGAGAATCATTCTGGTACATGTGGGCCACAAACCCAGCAGTGGAGAGCTGGTAGAGTTTCTGAGACTCTCAGTTTTCCAGGGGGTGCTCCTGGGATTTCAACATTACCCCCCTCTCCCCATCCCCAGCCAAAGGCAAAGAGGAATGCAGCAGCCAGGGCAGCTGTATCATGTGTTGGTCTCCTAAGAAAGAAAGATCATGTCTGAAGAGAGACCTCTGAACACTGTTATGACACAGATGAGGAAACTCCATTCCCCTCTTCAGAGAAGGACTTGAATATGATGCCCTGCCTGGCTCTCTTTACCATGTTCCTGTGAGAAAAAGCTTTTCTGTTTCTCCTTTACCCACTGCAAGGAGAACATTTTACTTCTGGTCATCAAATGTGTGGGTGTTTTTCAAAACCACACTAAAGTAATTCTCCAATTCTTGTCAGACACTAACTGGGTGTCCTATATATTTAACTCAATTCTGACTAGCTGGAGATGGCATCAGATCCCACAGGTTCATAACTCAGTTCCACAGGGCTACCCTCGCTTCAGATGACAATCGCAAGTTGAGGTTGTCACCTATACTTCTGATTGGATTTTGAGTAAACAGCTCACCAAGGGCTCCCATGACCCCATCCTCTGGTTGGATAATTTGCTCACAGAACTCAGGAAACATTTACTTATTCATTATATTTTAAAAATCACAACTTAAGAACAGCCAGATGTGGGAGATGCATAGGGCAAGGTATGGGGGAAGGAGCTGGGACAGTTCATGCCCTCTCCAGGTGTGCCACCCTCCTAACACCTCCAAGTATTCACCAACCTGGAAACCCATCAAATCTCCATTTTCAAGAGTTTATAGAGTTCAATCTCCAGCCCTCATTTGGTCTTTCTGGTGACCAGCTCTGCCCTGAGGCTGTCAAGGGCCCCAGTCCTAAATCACCTTATTAACATAAACTTCCAGGCGCTGAAAAGAGGTCATATGAATTTCAAAAGACACTCCTATCACTTAGGAAATTTCTAGGGGTTTAGGAACTCCATGCCAGGAGCAAGAGATAAGACCAAATAATTTCTTATAGCACAGATCCACTCCAAGTTTTTCTCTTTGGCATACAAGGATTCATAAAATCCCATCCCATCCCATCCCATCCCATCCCATCCCATCCCATCCCATCCCAGTAAACACAGTGTAACTGCTCAGTAAGATAACTTATTGAAACACTGGAGGCCTAGTGCATGGATTTGTGCACCCGTGGGGTCCCTTGGCCTGGCCTGCACCCTCTTGCAATCCGGGACCTTTCAGGGGATGTCGGACTGCTGGTTTCGACCCGATCGCCGCAGGCCAGGAGAGGGACCCCCTTTCCCTCTTTCCTCTGAGATTCATCAGTCTATTCCATGTTTCCATGCCTGTGCATTGAGCATCTGCTCCCTGGTGGTCAGTGCATGTCAGAGCTACTAGTCGAACGGTCGAGTGGTCAAATGGTCACTTAGGCATGCATATTTATATATAGACTAGATGCAGGGAGCCGGTCCATCCTTGATGTTTCAAGGGACCTGGCATATATGGCATACTGTTCTTAATATGTTTGCTCATCTTTTTGGCACTATGTGTTTTAACCAAGGTCATCTCTCTGAGAAAGGTTGTTTCCCCAGGTAGGGATTTTCCCCTGAAGTTAGGGAGGGAATAAAACCTCTTAACTGCCAGGCGGGTAATTAATCACTTTAACTACGAACAATCATGCTTAAGTACATAATCTTTACTCCCTGGAATGGAGATAAGAAACACCCTAACCTTTGGAATAGAGATTGATAGGATTAGAATAAACTGGTATAAATACAGATGTAACAAGACAACAGGACTCAGAACTTAGATGAAGGCCCTAGAGACAGAACTTAGTAGACAGAACCTACACAGAACCTAGAGACAGAAGAACTTCACTGGAGAGAACATGGCAAAAGATCCTGGACAGAACCTGGCTACAGAACTTGGCTGGCGATTCTGGCTAGAGATCCTGGCAAGGCTGCTGATCAACTGAACGCTGTCTCCATGTCCTTCCTTCTTCGCCAACTCCGTCCCCACCCTTGGGGACCCCTGGACCTGCTGGGGCTGGCCCCCAGCAACTAGAGGCCCAGTGCACAAAATTTGTGCATGAGTGGGGTCCTTAGGCCTGGCCAGTGATCAGGGCCTATTGGGGCCAGGCCAATCAGGGCCAGGCCAGAGAGTAGGCGACGGTCACCAGGCCGGGCACGGAAGGAATGGATACCAGATGCTGACACAGCCATCATCGGCGCCCTACAACTGAGTGGTTCCCCACTTCCCCCCTCTCCTTCCCTTGCCTCTGTGCCGCCACCATTGCGGGCAGGCAGTGGGCCATTTGGGGCCTGCCAGCCAGGGGGAGCGATGGGAGGAGATTGGTCACCAGCCCTGAGGAGGGAGCCGGCTCTCAGCCCCACTGGAAAAGGGGCCGTGCCTACTACCACCCACTCCCAGTTTCCCGTCCCAGCCAGGGCCCAAAGGCCCCAGGCAAGGCCAGGAGAGGAGGCGACAGTCACCATGCTGGACACAGAAGGAACAGATGCCAGATGCTGATGCCACCATCATTGGCACTTCACCACTGCACAGTTCCCTGCCTCCCCCCCTTCCGTCTCTGCCATGCCACTACTGCAGCGGGCCAGCTGGGGGGAGGAACAGGGAATGGGAGGTTGGCTGCCAGCCCTGAGGAGGGAACCAGCTCTTGGTCCCCCTGGGAAAGGGGCTGCATCCACCGCCACCCACCCCTGGTTCGGGGGTGGCCCTGCTGGCCCGGGGGGAAGGAACCACAAGAGGTTGGCCAGCAGGGGAGAGGGACCGTGGGAAGTTGGCCAGCCGAGGAAGGTTGGCTGTGGGAGCACACTGACCACCAGATATATATATTATATGTATAATATATATTATATATATACATATATATATCCTGATTAAATTAATAGCTGACTGTAGAATTTTCCAGAATTGAAGACAATACTGTGATTGAATGTGCTCTACAAGTACCAAATAGGAGTAAAGAGAAAATAATAAATCTATACATAGCCAAACTACAGAAAACAAAAGAAAAGGGGGAATAAACTTACAAAAATTAAATTAGAATTTAATCCCTGCATAAAATATCTAAATTTTCTCCTTTAACCCTTTCGATAATAAGCCACCAACACATATTAAGGTATATTAAACCAGAATGTGTAAATTCTGCAGGCAAACAGGAATGATTTCATATTTTTCACCCATTCTCTTTTTACTACAAAGGATTTTAGACATTTGTAAATACACTTTCTTCTTGTTCCTTCCTTTGGTTTAACTCAGTGACTTGCAAACTCCAGTGTGCATAGGAAAATTCTATACAGAGTTGGATCCCCAACAATAACCAATATACAACAGAGATTTTGAGTATATGAGATCCTCACTGATATGCAGTTAGATGTTACAACCCATCCCCCACAACACACATACACAAATGGAAAGCTGACACTAGTGAATTCAGTTGTGTGTGTGTGTTTTCCATACTTTTTTTCCACTTTCTTCTCATTTCAAACAGGTAGTCTGGCTTGTTACTTCTTGCTTAAGGCAAGAAAGGAGAAAGCCTGCTTTTGAAAGGATGAGGAAAGAAAAAAGCTGCCTTTCTAAGCTTGGAGGGACCCTGTGGCTCCTGTGAGTAGTAGTTCCAGGTACCAATCTGTAACTGTAGCCCTTGGAGAGGGAGGGGGCGGCACTCGGCCCAGGAGCACCTACTTCACCGAAGATTCCTACCTCACATGAGGCCTGGAAGCAGCAGAGGTGGGACCTGAATGGGCCACATACACTGGGACAATCGCTATCTCAGATGACAAAATCCTGGAGGAGTCTCCCAAAGCCTCTGCCCCTTACAAGGCCCTGAACTCTGTTAGACCCAGGCTTTTGTAGAATCCTGTTGTGGGGGGCATGGGAGCAGCCCACGCATGGCTGGGTTAAATTTCCTGCCAGCGTGGTGGGCTGGTTACTCAGAACCCAAATTTATTTTGATGTAAGGAAATCTAAAAAAATTCCTGTTTCTTGAATACATGAATTTATAGACAGAGAATTACATCCACTTTGAATATTTGTTGAGTGCCTTGCTGGCAGGAAGGGTTTCCTGACAACTACTCTGAATCCATCTCTGCCAGTTTGGGATGGATGTGCCCCAAGGGCTGAGCAAAGGAGGGAGGAAAGGTGTGCAGGAGGCGAGGCAGGAGTAAGAAGCTACAAAAGAAAATGACACCAGTTTCTCAGTCTTTCTGAGGCCTTGTCATGGATCATTTAGCTAGGTCACTAATCTATCTCTGCCAATATTTTGGGAGAAAAAAATAAAAATGCAACATATTCAAAAACAAACCAACAAACAACTTCACTGTATCAAATCATTTTATTAGGCTCAAGATGAGTTCCTGCCTGCAAAGCTCGCCAATGCCAGAAACTGTGGGCCTGGCAGCCGCCTACTTCCCATCCTAGTCACGCTGCTTAGGGTCTGACTTGAATGGCTAATTACTGGTCACCTCACTTTCTTGCCAAAGCAAAAAGATTATACTTCATGCACAACTTAAGCTGTCCCCTGGACCTCACTTGTTTGGACTGACAATCATGTTTTCTGTTCCCTTCCCCACTTACCTTAACTTTTAGTAATTGCCTTCTGGGCTCAAAAGAGCGACCCAGTAGGCCATTGAAATGTTGAAAAGCCCCCTGATATGGAGAAATGTTTATGTGCACTCTGAGAGAAAGAACTGGGACAAATATGTGCGGCTTTGGTACATGACAGGATGCAGGTTTCTTGTGAGCAATTTCTTAACTTTCAGCTGAATAATAACTATAATCAACTTCGCGCATTGAGAGTTGGTTAGAAGTGTTGTTAGGCGGTAATTAGAAACTTTGAAGATGGTAAATAAGTCAAAATGGTGATCTTTTGCAAAATGCGGGCATACTTTATCTTTGTAGGAACGAGGAAGATAAAGCCCTTTCTCTACCTCTTTCCAGTCCTTCCTGCTGTGGATCCCCAGCAGATGAACTTGCTCCCTCGTGGGTGAACCCTTCAAGGATGCACGTGGAGGGTGATTACCAACAGATCTCCTTCCAGCAGGTGGGAGACTCACACCGTGTGCATTTGGGGGCTACCTCATAGCTGTGATTCCAGCAAGATGCAGATGGAGTCATCAAAGAGGAGCCAGGCACACTGTGTCAGGAAACATAAGACGCCCCGAGCTCAAATAGACCTCATATTAAACCTCACCCTCCAGCAGCCAGCAAGTAAGTGATTTAAGAGACAAATGCATACATATCTAGGCCTTGCCTCTTGCGTGAGGATTACAATGCCTTTTGGACTTACCCTGTTCCTTTCTGCCTTGGGTCCTTATGCATGTCATCTCATCTGCTTGCTTAGCCAATTCTTATTCATGCTGAATACCTAGTTGTAAATATGATTTTCTTAAAAAAAAAAAAAAAGCTTTCCTGACATGATCTCCATATTGTGTAAGGCATCCATTACATGGTCACCTACTCAAATCACCCTGTCCTACTCCTCCTCTACACATAAGAGGATCATAATGTAATAATGTTCTGGTAATCTGTCTCCACTGCTGGAATAGAAGCTCCACGGGGGTAAGGAGTGTGCATTTTGTTTGCTGTGGCATCCCAAGCTCCTTATACACAGCCTTACTTGTCGAAGATGTTTAATAGTTGAATGAATGGATGGTTGATCTGTCTCCTGAGGTTGGTGGGAGGACTGTGAAGGGAAGCTATCTATTTGGTGGCATGTTCAGCATAGGTTCTCGATCTTCTGCTTCTTGGTCCCTACCTCCAGGCGCCTCATCACACTCAATACATACTATATTTTACTTTCTTTCTTAATCTTCAACCTTTTCTCAAACTCTTGCCCACACAGGGGCATTCAACAAGTTATCTGAGTGGCTAACCTGCAAAGGACCTGGCCTAGCTGAGACTTTTCACAAGAAAAAAAAATTCTTATTAAATGAGCATAGGCTTACCATTTGCTACCAGTGAAATAGTCCAAAAGTGTGCTGTAAACCTGAAGAAAAGTGGTACTCATTTGCTGTAGATAGGATACCTGTAATGAAAAAGGAATTACGTTTTTGTTTCAAATCCAAAGAGAAGTTTGTTGCTTTCTTCTTTTGTTATATGATTTATCAGAATCTAGATGGTAACACTTTCAAATTAATTCATTGCATGAGTCAATGCTAAAAGTGGTAAAAAAAAATTGTGGATTTTCTTTGTTGTGATGCCCTTGACAGTCTATGGGGTTATTTGGGAGAAGTGGAAATCCACTTAAAAGATTATTTTAACTGATTAGATAACTGAATAGCAGAAAATTGTAGAAGGTATTTACCAAAGTTAGATCAAAGACTCCTGGAAATGAATGGGTACTCTGAGAGGATCAATGTGTTAGACCCAAAGAGAAGCTGGACTTATTTTCCATCATGACCTGGCCTGAACAGAATGGAACCAGAAATTCTAAAGAAATGCAGAACTATGTGAGGAAATGATATCACTCTCTCAGAAGCAATTCACTTGTTTTGATACTGTGAGTCATGCTTTAAGTGTCTTTGCTTGCTTTTGAGGCTTACACATGGAAGGTTCCTGAATGATCATCTGTCATAGCAGTGACATGTTCTAGCTACTCCTGCTCAGTCTTTAGGCAATGTTTGTGTTTGTGTGGCTCTGTGACAATGCATTTTATTTCACTGACACTGAGACCCATCATCAGTAAGAGAAACCTAGTGCCAGTGATCTCTGATTGAACGCACCCACAGTCCTCAAGAAGATTGAGTTGGTTGAATAGTAGTATTCTCCCTGAATTCATTAGCAAGGACTGACTAGCTCTAGACCAAAAACTATGTTTTTATGTGAGAAATTTGGCTACAATTATTCATGAAATTCATTAAAAGTAACTTGTCACATGCATACAAAAGAAATAATTAGGAAAATATAGAAAAGCACATAGCAAAAATGCACCAGACATGTACAGTTAATATTAGCACACAGACATGTACAGTTAATATTTCTTGTATATATTTTCCATTTTTCTATGCTTCTATAAATATATGTGTGTTTTTTATATTCTTATAAATTTTATGTTTTTGTAAACTTGTATTTTAAACTTTATATTTTAATATTAATAATGATAATGATGACTATTATAACTGTGTGCCAGGCATCAGGACAAGCACTTCACAGGAACTATCTCATTTAGTCCTCATAGCAACCCTATGAGATACTACTGTCACTCTCATTTTTCACGAGAGGGAAGAGAAGCCAGGTTGCAAGCACATAAGGGATAGTAAAGGCACTGACACATCTGCTACAGCATATATCCAGATGCTTCCTTCTAGATAAACTTAGGACACATCAAATTCTAAGACATCATAAATTTCGATTGTCAGGTTGGCCCATAGAAATGTACCAGTTTTACATACCTTCTGTACTATGACCAATGTTGGGATTACCATGCGTAGTCAAGTCAAAAAAAATTATCTTATTTGCACTTTTTTCTTTTTTTGTTTTGTTAATCCTCACCTGAGATTTTTTTTTCATTGATTTTTCGAGAGTGGAAGGGAGGGTAGGAGGTGGGGAGAGAAAGAGAGAGAAACATCAATGTGAGAGAGACATTGATTGGTTGCCTCCTGCATGCACCCCAACCTGGACAAGAGATCAAACCTGCAACCCAGGTACATACTCTTGACTAGGAATTGAACTCATGAACCTTTGGTGCATGGGCGGACATTGTAACCACTGAACACATTGGCCAGGCTGCATTTTTCTTGATTAGTGTTGCAGTTGACCTTCGTTTCATTTATTTATTCATATAATTAGCATTTCTTTGTTTGCACATTGCCCTTCATTTATTTTTCTGTTGGAGTGCTTATTTTTTAAAATTTACTATTTCCTTATGTGTTGTAAGTATTTTTACTAGTTTGTTCTTTGTCTTTTAATTTTTATAACTCATTATCATGGAAATGTTTTAAATTTTTATATACTTTCATTTGTAGATTAATTTTCTTAAGGACTCAGAAAGGGGTCCAATAATCTATTTTTTCCATGCTTATTTGAAATGCCACATTACTAAATTCTTATGTAACAAAATCAAGTTAATGAAAACAATGATTAATGGAATTCTTGATTGATTTGCATTTTTCTTATTTTTACTGAATCCATATTTGGAATAGTTATTAATTTTAATTTATATTATATATTCATTTTAATTTACTTATTAATTTTAATGATATATCACAATACCTATTATTTTTAAAAGTTCAAATTTCCTTTTTCATATTAATTTCCGATCAGATGGCTTACTATTGCAAAATCCTGCTACCTGTACTGTATACCCACCACTGCCCAAATGGATGTACAACAATTCAATGATTCTCCTCTAGCTTTTTGCATTTTTTAGCATTCCAACCTACAAGTGATGCTCGTAACATCAACCAGAAAGAAAACATTACTTTATCTTGAATTTTTATTGTAAACATAACTTAAACGTGATTTTTAAATTACCTTGTCTCTGCACAAGGCAATCCTCTCTTCAGCGGGGTATGTTATTTGGTTATAAAGTAAAACTCTAGAAATTGGTACATGTTGAATCAGCCACCAGGGACTCCTTATGTTTCCACAAATGCAATATCAGGAGCATAAGAATGGAAATTGCCTGAAGTGTTCAAGCTGATTTTGCAGTTACACGGGGAAGGGAGCCAGAGCTGGGTGCACTGCATTACAAACGGCCTGTTACTGAGACACCAGGCTCCCTGATTCAACACGCGCCTGTCGTGTATTACATTTACCTTTTTTCCAAGTTATGCCCCTCAAAACCAAGCTTACGTGGTCTCATCCCACTGAATTAAAATGTCCAGGGGAGGCCTATTATGAGGACTTGAGAAAAAGTTTTGTTCTGAGAAAAGAAGCCTTAAAATGGTCTCCTGTTAGTACTGTTTCAAAGAATAGATTTTCTCCAGAACTCATTTCTATACTTTTCTGTTATGGGTTGAATTGTGGCCCCCAACTCCCCAGATTCATATGTTGAAGCATTAACCCCAGGTACCTCAGATGTAACCTTATTTGCAGATAGGATCCCAACAGAGGCAATCACATTAAAATCAGGTCATAAGAGTGAGCCTCAATCCAATATGACTGATGTCCTTATAAACAGGCAATTTGGACACAGAGACACACACATAGAGGGAAGATGGTATGAAGGTAGACAGGGAGGGTGGCTTTCTACATGCCAAGGACACCTCAGGCCACCAGAAGCTAGGACAGGGGTCTTCCTAGGAGAATGGATCCTTCCCTAATGTTCTCAGAGGAAGTTTGGGCCTGCAGACACCTCGATCTTTGGCTTCTGACCTCCAGACCGAGACAATACATTTTTGTTGTCATATTTTATTGAGTTTTAAGTGTTTGTAAATGCTTTGAATAGGTAATGCATACATACGGCAAACAATTCTGAGCATGGAGCAGCATAAAGCAGACTTAGCGTGGAAATGGAGTCTTCCTTGGCTGGTTGTCTACAGCACCCTACCCGCCACTCCCCCCAAGTGCCCTTCCAAGAAGCAAACACATACTCCGTATCTAATATCCCTAGTTTCATGATCATCCTAGTTTAGTTCCTTATTTTCTCTCATTGACCATATAGGTCTGCTGGGGGTGGGGAGGGCGGGGGGAGAGATTGCTTGCTTCTGTGTAATCTCAGCTCTCAATAACTCTGACTTTGATGAACTGTTTACCAGCTAAGTTGATGTATAAAATTTAAGGGAGGCTAAAGGCTCTGATTGGTGTTAATATCCAAACTCCTGTTATTGAATCACCTTTAGGCTGAAGCAGGATCTGAGCAAATATTTTGCTTGGGGGGCAGAGTGGAGGGACAGTAAGGCACTTGGATGATGTTGGGGAGAGTGAGTGGAAACAATTTAGCTTTTCAAGGAAGTGAAAACTTGGTTGGTCTGACTTCTCCTTTGCTGTTCTTAATGGTTCCAGTAACTGACTTTGAATAGGAGTAGCCCAGCTCCTATTTGCTTATCTGAGAAACACTCTAACATCCTGGTTGAAAGCTTGGATTTGGGGACCAGACTGTCTGACTTTATAATAAGAGTGCTACCACCAGTTAGTTCTGTAACTTTGAACAAGTGATTTTACCTCTCTGTAATTAAGTTCTCCTAGGAAATGAAGAAAACAGTAGTATGGACAACGCTTGTTGAAGTTTTGCTTGGGAGGCCAAGAGTTCCTTTTTGTTTTAGAGTTGCTAGAAGGATGAAATGGGCTAAAGCTCTTGTAGAACCATGCCTGACAATTAGTAAGGACTATGCTAGATTTATTATTAAGTCACCCATAAGTTTTCCCACTGTGGGTTTGTTAATGTATTAGTTATGATACATTTAGCTTGCAAGTAACAGAAAGCCAAGCAAAATGGAGCTTAAACAATAAAGACATTTATAATTTTCTGTAACATGGTGTCATGATGGAGGTTTTCTGGGTGGTAGTTCAGTGGCTTGTTGACAGCACCAACAATCAAGTTACCTTCCATCTCTGGAACACCAGCGTTTGAAGAAAAGGCATCCTCAGCGAATTGGCTTTTGTCCTTGGCCTTCTCTTCTCAAGGCCACAAAATGTTTAGGAGTCACACACAGACAGGACAGGACAATGTTGAGAGATATTGTCTGAAAAGGAAATACCTCTCCCCCTCCACATATTCCTTTTAAAGAACAGGTATAAAGCT